AAAAAAAAAAAAAAAAAAAAAAAAAAAGAAGTGAAGTGTCTTGAAAAGGTCTCTACACTCACTTGCTCCCTTGTTCATTGAAGAATTATTCAAAATAGTCAAGATATGGAAGCAGCCTAAAGGCTCGTAACAGATAAATTGATCAAGAACATGAAAACATATTCAAGGTGCTTATGTAGCCTTCATTTAATGTGATCCATCTACCTATTTATCAATCAACACATATTCAAAGTACTTATATACCCTGTGTTTTATTGAATCCTCAACATATCTATGAATTAAAAGTATTGTATGAAATAGGACAAAAAAGACAAGGCAAAGTACTTTCTGGTCCATTTCTGACCTGTGGCCTAGATTAATCATGTTCCCTTAGCTTGGGCTGAGAACCTTGCTGAGTCACAAATTGGGGTTACGTTAACATGGGGATTCTATTGAGCTAATGTTGGTATTGGTAAGAGCTATAGTTTGGGTATGACTTGAATGTGTCCCCCTAGGGTTCACGTGTTGGAGCTTGTTCCCCAGTGTGGTGGTGCAAGGTGATTAGGTGACCAGGGGCATCGCCCTTGGAAGATACTAAGGAAGTTCTCATGGGGCCCTGATTTCTTTCTCATGGTAGTATTGTTATGAAAGAGCGAGCATGACCCCTGGATCCCTGTTTGGCTTTGTGTTAGCCATGTGATCTCATCTTCTCTCACACATTCCCACCATGATGCTGTCCATTACAATGTGATGCAGCCCACAGTGCCCTCACTAGAGAATGAATCAATGGGGCCACTTGATCTTGGACTTTCAGCCTCAAAAAGTACCGAGCCTCAGGTATTTTATTATAGTAACACAAAAGAGAAGAATAAAATAAACATCTGATGGCATTTTATTTTTAAAAGTTATATTGGCTACAGTTAATGGAGAGAGATGCATGGTTACATATCCTTAAGGTCCAGCTCACACTGAGCAAACTCCCAGGCACTTGGAGCAACTACATTTGAAGCTAACTGCAGACATATAAACAGGCCAGTGAAACCAGTTTAGATAACGAGAGCTCCCTGGGCAAACAAAAAGGATTCCAAGAATGAATAATTTTGATTGTAAGCAACTATGTTCTGGAGTGGTTTGTTACAAAGGGTGATCAAGGTGATTCTTTCTTTCTGCCTATAGCAAGCTGACCTGTGTGAACTTCATCAGTCTTTTCTTGCTTCAGAAAGTCAAGAGAGGCAAACGAGGGAGAGATCAAGGTATCCCTGGGATCCCTTCGTTTGCATCTCTGTAGACGGGTTGTGTTCCTGGACTAAATGCCCCAATTCCTGTTAGGGAGTCTTGTACAGAGCTTCTATTTGTAATACTCCCTCCCCTGCTCCTTTTGATATAGGGTATATGATATAGCGATGATATAGAACTTCCAAATAATCCAAATAATATAAGGGAAATATAACTCCCAACCTGGAGATGTCCAATACGTTGAGTTCGTGTTCTGTGAAATCAAAGAATGAATTTAGGAACAACGGAGGTGGAATAAGGATTTATTGAAAGACAGCTTCCATCTAAGAGAGACAGGAGGGGTCCTGAGTGGGCGGCAGGGGACCCCCGCTTCTCAAGGGAGGTTTGGTATAAGGTATAATCAACAGATAAGATTACAAGTATAGTTGCTTAGGCAATATTGATCCAATGGGAAATCTCAATGTGGGTATAAAGTGGGACAAAACTATGGTCAACTAGTAAGATGATGAGTATGGTCATTTAGATTGATTGAATGGGGATCAAACGGGGAAGCAAATCACATTTCGAGGGTACATGAAACCAACAAGGACTTTTCCTGGAAGGGATGGGTTAAGGTCTTGGTACCCCACCCATATGATTGATGCCTGTTTACTTATCATCCATTATGCTTTTCTCCTAGGGAAGTAGGTGTAGTGATTTCATCTGTCTGGAGGCCTGGCCTTCAACAAATGAGCCTCCACCAGCCACGGTTGTAATGTGTTCTTATTTTCTGCACTGACCTCTTTGTGGGCCTATCCCTGTCTTACTACTTGTATTTCCATTTCACTTAGCTGTCTACAATCCTTTCATCTAAGGTGAGATTTTGGATCTATGATGTTACTGAATCTCCCGTGTGATCTTTTAAATTCTTGCCTACACGCCTGTTTATAATCCCTTATTAAACTCTCTTCCAATTCTAATTTGGTTATACCATCTGTTTCCTGAGTAGGCCTTATCCAGAGGTAATACCTTGGCAAAGACTTGATGATCTGATGGGTACAGTAACTGATGAAGACATCTGGGGGAAGAGCCAAGATCCTGCTTGCGGCAGTGAGGAAGCAGGGTGACAAGAGTAGTGTGTTGGGAGGAGCACAGACGGCGAAATCAAAGAGGTAACCGCGTGCGCGTTGAGGATGGGGACGTGTGGCACAAGGGAAGATCATGTACAGGCTTGTTGGCTTTGACTTTGAGAAGTGGAGAGCCACTGGACCTACATCCTCCAGTCTAATTAAATCTAATAAGATTGCTTTCCATTATGTGTTGACAGTGGTGCTGCACGTCAGCACAGACTTTCTCCTCCCAGGCTCCTGCCGGCTGATGAATGCTTGGCATGTTCAGCCAGCCCAGCAGGCATGGGTCTGAGTTCAAGGCTTCCTGTCTCTCCTGATGCTGGGAGTGCCGGGACCTTCCCTTACAGTCAGGATTCAGCATAGTGTCTTCTTGTTGTTGTTAGCATATTCTTTTCAGTTCTGCTGATGATTTGGGAGTGGACACATTTTTCTTATTTTCTTTTTCTGTTGTTGTTAGTCAATAGGTTCTTCTATACTGACTTCAAAAAGAGTACTTATCTAAAGGATCCTGTACAACGGGGACATAACTACTTCAGGGAAGATAACATGAGGAATTTAACAGAAATGTCTGTCTGCCTACCTCTTAGGAGATGGTGGTTTTTCTGGAAAATATAAAAAGCAAAGGGGTCATTTGCATGTATGACTTTCCAGAAAATAATATAGAGACTTGAAACACGTTTTAATCCTTTAATTGGAATTTCCACTTAAGCATCTTCTGGTATTAATTCTAGATCACTCTCTGCAGGTTATATGAATAAACTTGATCCCTCCTTGCTCCACACCAGCTTCCATGGGGGTTTATTGTCTCTCCCGTTTCTCAGAAATTCTCCTGGGCTGAATCTCTCTTGTGTATGGGTCCTAACATTCTTATCAGATGTGTTGTGTGCTAGTCAACCAAATGACATTTCTTAGGGCTCATCTCAATCAACATCCCCCCCGCCCCTGTACTGGGGATTGAACTCAGGACCTTGTGCTTACAAGGTAGGTAATGGAGCTGTAAAATCAACATTAACTACCAATTGTAGCTATAGTCCTTCAGGACCTATTCTGTGCTTCCCCCCACCTTTGGTGCCAAGGATTGAACTCAGGACCTTGAGCTTGAGGCAGGCACGGCGCCAGTGAGCTAAATCCCAGCCTATTTTTTGCTTTTAATCTAAAGTAAAGCAGGGTAGTTAGTAAAGTTAGGTAGGCAGGAACCCTTTTCTGGCTAGCAGCAGTGGCCTATTAAACCACTTCTGGTTTGTTTTCTATACCTCACCTTAATTTCTTTTCTTTTTTTTTTTTTGGTACCAGGGATTGAATTTAGGACCTTGCGCTTGCAATGCAGGCAGTGGAACACCTTAATTTCTTTTTAAATTTTTCATTATTGTTACTTTAAAAAATCTCCAACTAAGTATATGAAGTGAGTTATTCCAGTAGATGTTTAGTAGAAAGAGAACTGAGTGAGGAAACCAGGGTTTTAGTCCTTGTAATATCTATTATGCTTTATTAGCTTAAAGATTAAGTTTCAGTCTTCTAAAATTTTAGTTTCCCTTTCTGTAAATTGACAAGATTAAATTATTGAAACATCAAGAAAATTTGAGATCCAGCATTTGAGTTTGAGGTAGTTAAACCCAAACTCTCAATAACTATAACATACTTATTGTTCATGAGAGAACATTCTCAACAAAACAATCAGGCTATGTAGCTCTGTGATAAAGTGCTTCCCTATCATGTGTTCAATCCTTAGTACTGAAAAAAAAACTGAACTGGGTGCAGAGATGCATACCTGTAATCTAAGCTACTCAGGACACTGAGGCAGAGTCAGGAGTTTGAGGCCAGCTTGGGCAGTACAATTGAGATTTCATCTTAAGCAAACAAAAGCATAATATCAGAAAAAGTGTAATTTTAAAACCTGAATAAATGCGTTTGTATGATAATTTATTACATTTTCCATTTCAGCCCCTTGTCAATTAACATTTCTTTACTGGCAGCTTCTGAGAGCCTTTCTGGTTCTAAGGATCTAGACTCCAGTCTTGTCAAAATAATATTTGTCTCCAGGATAAACTTGTTTCTCTTCTGGATCGGGTCTCATCCTTAGCTCAGTGCCTAGTATAGCAACTAATTACCAGATTAAAAGGTGAAACAATCCCTAGTGGACTGACGTTCCTTTTTGGAAAGCGCAAACTTAGTAGGAGGGTGAGACTTTCTTACTTTCAGCCTAGTCTCACATCTACAGCAATCAAGTCAGCTCTAGATTCTAGGGTTAGCAATCTGTTTTTCAATCCTGCCCCAAATCTGAATGCAGCGTAGGCTTCTGCTCTACTATGAATGTTTGTGTCTGCTTCAGAATCCGACGTTAAAAGCTAATATCCAATGCAACAGTATCAAGAAATGGGGCCTGGCAGAGGTGATGAAACCACGAATGGGATCGTGCCCTTTCAGGTTTGAGGGGTGGGGAGTTTATTCTTAGCCTGCAAGAAGCTGGGTTCAGTCCCCAATACTGTAGGAAAAACAAAACAAAACAAAACTAAAAACTGAGGGAGCCTGTCTGCCCCTTCTGCTATTTGGGAACTCAAAAGGCACCATCTATGAACAGGCTCCCACCAGACACTAAATTCGCTGGCTCCTTGCTTGGACTTCCTGGTCTGCTGAACACTGAGCAATATATTTCCACTGTTTATAATTACTCAGTCTGAGTAATTAGGTTTTAGATCAAATGGATTGTCAAAAAGTAGACCCACCATCATTTAAAAACAGAATTTTCCTACATGTTCCTCAAATCAGTCTATGTATAGAAACAGAACATTTATATATTGAGAGGTAGGCACTTGGAAACAAATTTGGGCTTTGCCATTAGCTTATTATATGACCTAGGTCAAGGTGCTGCATGTCCCGTGTCTTGGTTCCTAATTATAAAATGTACTGATTGTACCTGCCTCATAAAGTTGTGAATTAAACAGATACACAGTGCTGTTCATAAGGTTCATGTTCAAGCATAATTCTTACTAATGAGCCTCAAGATATATGGGAATAGAAGAAGAAAAGAATTAAAATGGCCCTGAAAGAAATACTGGTGTATTTGGAAGACTGAAGAGGAATGTCATCGAACTCCATAAAATCAAAAAGGCAATTAGAAATCTCATAAAACTCCGTTCTCCCAAAGGATAATAGATTGAATATATAAAAGTTTCAAATTAATTTAGCTAAATTATTACAGAATGAATGCAACGTAGGTTATTGCGAGAATTGGAGATGTTCCATGGTATATAATTACTTTTCTGAGGTGAGGTACAGGAAACAAATCTCTTATACAACTGAGAAGTGGAATTTCTTGTTAACACATGAAAATGAACTTGGAAACTTAAGAAAACGACCACTGCCACGGTCCCACCGCTGTCATTAAATTAGAGTCTCTTGAGTTGGGGCCCAGGAATTTTTTTTCAAAGCTGTCAGTTGCTACTAAAGGTTCACCAGAGCTCAGGGAGAGCTGAGTGCGCGGTGCTCTTTACAATCACTAAGGGAAGGGCCGGGGATTTAGCTCAGCGGTTCGGTGGCCTGCCTTGCAAGCTCAAGGACCCGAGTTCAATCCCCAGTACCAAAAAAACCAAAAAACAAAAAAACCCCAATCTCTAAGGGAGGTTCAAGCAGGCCAAGCGGACTGAACCCCTCGCTTAGGCCCCCCGTCTCTTCAGCTCTCGTATCAACTCCGCGGTCGTCCGCTCGCACTTCGCAACGTCTCCTCTATCGCGGCCGCCTCTTTGGGCTCCTGCCCAGCTGGCCCGGCGTCGGTCACGTCGTCCCGCGA